GCTGACGCTCAACACTTATACAGTCAGACTGCTCCTGACACCATCGGAACTGGTACTATGCATTTCCTGCTGAAGATGGGGACGGTGCGTTTATGGGAGTGTTCCGAATGCTTGGATGTTGATTCTATACATTCCCTCACATGATCATAAGAGCTGCAACAACAACAACAACAGCTACTACTACTACTACTACTACTACTACTACTACTACTACTACTACTACTACTACTACTACTACTACTACTACTACTACTACTACTACAACTACTACTACTACTACTACTACTACAACTACTACTACTACTACTACTACTACAAACAACTACTACTACTACTACTACTACTACTACTACTACTACTACTACTACTACTACTACTACTACTACTACTACTACTACTACCACTACTTCTGCTGCTGCTGCTGCTACTACCAAGGCTACTGCTGCTGCTGTTACTACTACTTCTAATGCTAGTGCTGCTGATACTGCTGCTGCCACTTCTACTACTACTAGTACTAATGCTACTTCTGCTTCTGCTGCTGCTACTACTACTAATGCTAGTGCTACTGCTGCTGCTACTGCTGCTGCTACTGTTACTGCTGTTACTGCTGTAATTTTAATTGAAAAAAAAAAAAAAGCCGCTGCGACCAACAAAAGTTTTGGAAAGACTGGGCTAGACACAGGCAAAGATTTTTGTGTGGGTATAATGATAGTTCACGTTCTATGGCCTTTGTCACGCTGTGTGCTTATTTTTGTATGGGTGAGTATGTGCGATAGAAAGAACGCGCGTGGAAGTTCTTGATTTATGCTATAAATCTGTTACTTCATGTATGCTAACACTTTATCACTTCCTTAATTGCCCCAAGAATGCAAGGACTGCTCCAAGTCAACACAAATATTAACCGGCTTTGCTAGTCTAACATTCAGAACACCGTAGAAGAGTAAAACAAGCAATTCAAGCAAGCCATTCCTATCTGAACACAACAGCATTAAGTCAATATGAGGTTCCCTATCTAAATATCCAGGAACTCGACATTCCACTGTGAAGTCTCGAAGTATTGGTTGCCCAGCATGGTGAGATGTTGTGTAGTCTAGAGGTGTCGGTTTCCCAGCATGGTGAGATGTTGTGTAGTCTAGAGGTGTCGGTTTCCCAGCATGGTGAGATGTTGTGTAGTTCTCGAAGTGTGGGTTGCCCAGCATGGTGAGATGTTGTGTAGTCTCGAGGTGTGGGTTGCCCAGCATGGTGAGATGTTGTGAAGTCTCGAGGTGTGGGTTTCCCAGCATGGTGAGATGTTGTGTAGTTCTCGAGGTGTGGGTTTCCCAGCATGGTGAGATGTTGTGTAGTCTCGAGGTGTGGGTTTCCCAGCATGGTGAGATGTTGTGTAGTTCTCGAGGTGTGGGTTGCCCAGCATGGTGAGATGTTGTGTAGTCTCGAGGTGTGGGTTGCCCAGCATGGTGAGATGTTGTGAAGTCTCGAGGTGTGGGTTTCCCAGCATGGTGAGATGTTGTGTAGTCTCGAGGTGTGGGTTTCCCAGCATGGTGAGATGTTGTGAAGTCTCGAGGTGTGGGTTTCCCAGCATGGTGAGATGTTGTGAAGTCTCGAGGTGTGGGTTTCCCAGCATGGTGAGATGTTGTGAAGTCTCGAGGTTTTGGTTGCTCAGCATGGTGAGATGTTGATTCTCGAGGTATAGGTTGCCCGGTATGGTGAGATGTTGTGAAGTCTCGAGGTATAGGTTGCCTAGCATGGTGAGATGTGGAGTCTCGAGGTCTCGGTGAGTACTTCAATCTAGGCACTTCTTGGTCGTCCTCTTCCTCTTGGTGTTTTTACTTTATGTTGTGTGCTCTTTTTGCTGGCACCATTTGATTAATTCTCATGAAAGGGGTCAAACCATTTCAGTCTGCACCACTGGTACTACAAGGTTGGAGCTCAACGGCTGCTGAAAAAGGATGACGGTACGCGTATAGGGATGTTCAGAATGCCATGTTGTCGGTTCTTAACTCATGTCAACTCTACCCGTACTATGACGTTTTATTTGAGTGCCTCCAGTGCTACTGTATGCTTATGAAACATGGACTATATACAGTTGTCGATAAGAAACAAAATAGGACAGGCAAAAACTGCATTTTATAAAATGAAGAACATCTTGTGCAATATATCTTTGTCTTTGGAGGTTAGAAAAAGAATTCTTGCTTGCTACATACCTTCAGTTTTAACATATGGCTGTGAATCCTGGACAATCGGTAGGCAGGCCAAACAATTTCTTGAGGCCTCAGAGATGTGGTTTTACAGAAGAATGCTTAGAATACCTTGAATAGCCAAAAAAAGCAACTAAAAGGTTTTGAAAGAGGCGAGAGCCCGAAGACAACTTTTCATAGACATCAGAAGGACACAGTCATAATTTTTCGGCCATGTTATGAGAAGAGGGAAAATAGAACATGTTGTGACCACTGGAAAGATCTGTGGAAGGAGGGGTAGAGGAAGACAACGAGAGACGATTTTTGACAGCCTTGTTGCATGGCTTGGAGGTGTGTCGGCTAACGAACTTATACATGCTGCAGGAGATCGTGGATTATGGAGAGGCATGATCACTCACGCCAGTCGGCAAGGCACATGATGATGATAATGATGATGATGATGATGATGATGATGACACAGTTGTCATGCAAAGCCTAACCATGTTCCAACAGTGTATGAAAAATACTGAAATTTAGGTGCCATGACAGGGTCAAGGATACTGTCGTATTGGATAGGGCTGGCAAACCCAACATGGATACCATCCTGATGCAGACACAGATTCGATGGGCACGTCACGTCATCCGCTTGCCAGATCATCAGCTCCCAAAAATAATCTTGAATGGCGAGATACAGAAGGTAGACGCTCTCATGGTGACCAGAAAGAATGCTTCAAAAACACGCTAAAGGCATCACTTGGAGCCTTCAATATGGACCCTGACACTTGGGAGAGACTGCTGCACAAGACTGGACCTCATGGCGAACGTCTATCCGAAGAGGGACGGCGACCTGCAAGCTTCAATACACGGGTCAGCTTTAGAGCACAGTGGGGCTAGAAAGACTTTCATGACAGGCCTATTACTTACAGATCAAGACTGTCTCCATCTGACGGGCCATGCTGCTGACGATACGCGTATCGTCAGCCCGGTTTGGTGACGTCAGCAACATGACCGGTCAGAGAGAGTCGGTCTTGCTGCTGAAACTGTTTCCTGCGCTCATTGTCCTAGTTCCTCCCGGGGCCAGTACTGGGCTTATAAGTCGCCTCCGGACTCATAGATCTCAACTAGAGTTTCCTGACAGTTGAATGAAAGAGTGATCCCCATCCCCTGTGATGGACAAACAAGAGTCATCCGCGTTCTTGGAAACTGTTTTTTCTTAAAATCTTATTTGTCAAAATAACTCACCTGTCTACTAAAAATGTAAAGCCTGTTCTCTTTGCATAAACTGTTCAAGTGAAATAGTATATGGGTGAGAAATATCCTGATCGGACATTGCAAGCACGATCAGATGTGCATACATTGGCTACTTCTCAGAACTAAAAAAAAAAGCAGAACTAGGATATTCTTCGTGTCCTAGGATTAAGGATTCACAAAGGAACCGGATAAAACATAACTGAGCATCATATGTGTCTTACACCGGAAAGACAGCTTTGTCAAAAGTATAAGCAAATAATGAATCAACCTAAAGGAATGAAACAAAATTTGAATAAGTAAATAGATAAGAAAGTGTTGAAATGGACGGAGGATAAAAAGGCGGGAGAAATCGTCAAGGTTTGTCAGCCCTGACTGTGTTCGGCAACTGTAAGCTCACAATTGCAGTATTATCTTTCTGTAATATTTATGTAACTTGTATTCACTAAAGCTTTCTCCAGGCTTTCATTGAATTGTAAGTTCGTTGTGGAAAAAATATCTTTGTTGTGATAATAATTTTATAATTCATTAGTTAATTAGAAAAGTAAAGGAGTCAAAATAAACGTATACATTCAGAACAATTATCTGGAGCCTAGAAGTGGGTGAAGTCTTACACTCCTCCTCCTCCGCCTCCTTCTTCTTCTTCTACTTCTACTTCTTCTTCTTCTTCTTCTTCTTTTTCTTCTTCTTCTTCTTCTTCTTCTTCTTCTTCTTCTTCTTCTTCTTCTTCTTCTTCTTCTTCTTCTTCTTCTTCTTCTTCTTCTTCTTCTTCTTCTTCTTCTTCTTCTTCTTCTTCTTTTTCTTCTTCTTCTTCTTCTTCTTCTTCTTCTTCTTCTTCTTCTTCTTCTTCTTCTTCTTCTTCTTCTTCTTCTTTTTCTTCTTCTTCTTCTTTTTCTTCTTCTTCTTTTTCTTCTTCTTCTTCTTTTTCTCCTTCTTCTTCTTCTTCTTCTTCTTCTTCCTCTTCTTCTTCTTCTTCTTCTTCTTCTTCTTCTTCTTCTTTTCATCCTCTTCTTCTTCTTCTTCTTCTTCTTCTTTTTAAATATTTTTGAAATAGCGCCTTTTTCCATAGATTTATAACAACCACCACGGTTTGTTGTAGTTAGAAATGTAGACATTTCATTGCTTGTACTTAATGTTTTGATGCTTTTAATAGTCTTTTATTACCTGATGTGTGAATGAAATGATGTAAGAATGGAGGGAGACCTCAAAGGGCAGAATGTAAGACGGGCCTGCGTGCCCAATTCTGAACCCTTTAAAAATAAAGTTTGTTCGTTCGTTCGTTCGTTCTTCTTCTTCTTCTTCTTCTTCTTCTTCTTCTTCTTCTGCGTTCCCCAAGTTGTATTACAGTTAACCGCTAGACTGCGATGACAGCTAACCCGTATTTAGTCGCCTTTTACGACCTGCTTGTTGGTGGGCTCCCCCCTCCCCCTCCCACCTTCCAGTGGGGTCCTGGAACTCACACGGGAAGTTAGTAAAGTAGTTCCCCCGCCCCCACCCATGCCTTTCTACCTCTGGGAAAAAAACGAATGACAATAATTATTGAGATACTTTTTTGTTTTTGTTTTCAGAACAAACAAGATGGCAGGACCAGGATTACTGCTAGCTGCCATTTTGGTAACCGGCTTTCCAACATACACGCATGGTCACGGGCGGTTACTAAAGCCTCCATCCAGAATGTCCGGCTATCTCGCGGGGTTGCCCATGCCTGTGAATTACAACGACCATGAAATGAATTGTGGTGGGAGGAAGGTAAACTCAGGGTGCCCGCACGCACATTAATCTGTTCATACATGCATAATATACATGTCTGATAATATAAAAGTGAAAATTCATGTGGTTGTATTCCTGTATATTTGTCTGTCAAAGTCCACTTCCCAAACGCTTACGAGTGGTGAAATTTGCAGATGTCATATTGGCTACAATGTCAAGGTCAACTGTGCTTATCGGTAATAAAATTCACACATTGAGTTAATAGCACAGAATAACTAGAATGTATCCGTGCTGAAGCCCACAAGGTCACACGAATAAAGGCAGTCAGAAAAGCACACGGAGAACGTAACCAGAAAGCGAGGTTAAAAATATATTGAGGATATGGTGAGAGCTGCATACGATAGCGAAGGATAGGACAATTTGACAGGAGCAGGTGAATGACCTTTGCTCTAGTGAGGGATAAAGAGAAAAAGAAGAAGAGACCAACCTATCAAATATTTATATCTGTTATTCCTATAAGGTTGTTGCGTATCCTTTACAGGACGTTGCAGAACCAACCCCAACAGCCCCTGGCTGTTGTGTGTTTTCTCTAGGCAAATTACGTCCAGTAGTTTGCCATTGCTTCCTGGACGGTCGGCTGTATTGATACCACTGTCGAAACCAACGCAAGGCGCATTGCCCGCAGCTGGGATCGAACTCGGCATCCCGGCATTACGAAGCGAAGTGTTCGCATCGACTTAGCCACAGAGCCGACTACGTTATTCCTATACAGAAGCTAGACCGGTTATTTTTACGATGGTCTCCCCATTTAGATACCACCGGGTGTAGGTCAACTCCATTGATAAGTTGGTTGGACTAGTCTACCGTGGTCGAGGTTATGGGTGTCGCAGTCTGTTGTTGTCTGGCATTTACGCTTTTATTTCCGAGAAAGAGACGGCATGTTACATAGGTTTTGTCACTCTCTCGGGGGGTTGTGTGTTAGACCCAGTATCTAAATGTTTTAGAAGTGTTAAAAGCTCTGGCATGGTGAAATATACAACACTCGGTATCAGCGCGAGTTTGGAATATACCCGTAACCTTGTGTGAAAGTCGGATCGCTCGAGGCCGACCTATCAAAAGTAAAGTGGTCAGTAGGTCGTCCACTCAGAAGCCAGCTAGTGTGTAGCGGTGTGTAAATGGGGAGAGCAGCGTAAAATTTACCGCTAGGCCTACCATCTTGGTATACTTTATATTGTCACGCTGTGTTGCTAAGGTTGGCACCTTTTCGTCACTCCAGATAAAAATGTTATACTACGCCATAGGAAGGTATGGCAATCACGGCCCATAGCGAAAGCACGGATGATTAGCAAGACCTATTCCTGTTAAGAAACAAAGTCCACAATTATAGCATAGCATTCCAGGACCATTGTTGCTATCGCTTGTATTTAACGTGCCTCTTCACAGACGCTCAGCTGTAACCTATATACAGTTAAGTTCTCCTTTGTTTCTAGTAGCATAGTAAGAGGCCTTTTCCCAAGCGTATTGGGTATATAGGGCTAGACCTATATTTTATAGACCAGCTAGCAATCGGTGGGTGATGTGGTCAACACCACGCCGGCCTACTTTATTTTCCAGGACTTTACCGGGTACCCGTTTAAGGCTGGGCCCACCTGGCAGCCAGGGTCATATTTGGGGGAAAATTCTGGCATCGTTCGGATTTGAACCCACGACCTTCGGATCCGTAGGCGAGCGTCTAGCTACAACACCATGGCGCCGCCGAAATTTCCTCTTCTTTTAAATATTTCCCCAACCATTTTCCAGTCATCATGGTCAATCTATTGTAGCCCTCCTACCAGAACATGGACGCTTTAGTGCCTTGAGCATCCCCCCCCCCACCCCACAAAAAGAAACTTTTAAGGGGTAGGAAGAATTGAGCGCACCCCACCCCTAATTTTTTAAGGGCTAAGGACCCCTTCCCCCCCCCCTCCCCAAGCAGTATAGAAACTCTCTTTTTGTGTTGTTTCGTTTTTTATCTACATTATTTCCCCAAAAAATAATCAAATTTTCACATTGTTATTATTATTATTATTATTATTATTATTATTACAAGGCGTAGACGGAGTAAGCCGGTGGTAATTTTGTGGAGGAGGGTAACCGTCTTCCTGCCCCCCCCCTTCCCTTCATGTTCTTTAAACGTCGACGCCTCTGTGCCACACCGTTAACCCCTGTTTTAATAGACCAAATATATTCAACATTCTCCCAATCTGCAACACAGGTACAGTGGGATCAGAGTGGAGGCAAATGTGGGATCTGCGGGGAGCCATGGCCGGGTCCCAAGAACTACGAGCGACCCAGCGGGGTCATGGCTCAGCACCAGATCCGGACGGCCACCTACCTGGAGAATGCGGTCATTATAATCCGCTTACAGATCACCGTGTCACACAGGGTATGTATTATAAACAGCTTACATGTAACCCATTACACAAGGAATTATTTTAAACATCTTACAATTAACCCATCACACAAGGTATGTATTATAAACCACTTACAGATCACTGTACCACATAAGGTTTGTATTACAAACAGCTTATATGTAACTTATCACACAAGTTGTGCATTATTAACCACTTACAGATCACCGTATCACACAGGGTAGGTATGATAAATCTTTTACAAAGTACCCGTCACACACGGTATGTATTATAAAAAGCTTACAGATCACCGTATCATACAGGGTATGTATTATAAACAGCTTACAGATCACCGTATCACACAGGGTATGTATTATAAACAGCTTACAGATCACCGTATCATACAGGGTATGTATTATAAACAGCTTACAGATCACCGTATCATACAGGGTATTATTATAAACAGCTTACAGATCACCGTATCACACAGGGTATGTATTATAAACAGCTTACAGATCATCGTATCATACAGGGTAAGTATTATAAACAGCTTACAGATCACCATATCACACAGGGTATGTATTATAAACAGCTTACAGATCACTGTATCATACAGGGTATGTATTATAAACAGCTTACAGATCACCATATCACACAAGGTATGTATTATAAACTGCTTACAGATCACCCGTCACACAGGGTATGTATTATAAAAAAGCTTACAGATCATCGTATCACACAGGTTATGTATTATAAACAACTTACAAACCACCATATTATACAAGGTATGTTTTACAAACAGCTTACAGATCACCATATCACACAAGGTATGTATTGTAAGCAGCTTACAGATCACACATGTCACACAAGGTATGTATTATAAACAGCTTACAGATCAGCGTATCATACAAGGTATGTATTATAAACAGCTTACAGATCAGCGTATCATACAAGGTATGTATTATAAACAGCTTACAGATCACCATATCATACAGGATATGTATTATAAACTGCTTACAGATCACCGTATCATACAGGGTATGTATTATAAATAGCTTAAAGGCAACCCATCACACAATTTATGTATTATAAACTTTTACAGATCACCCCAAGACACAAGGTATGTAGATAAACCGCTTACAGATCATCTTATCCCACATGTATGTGTTAGAATTCAGTGCCAGCTCTTCCTTAATTGTCAAAATGCATACTGCTCATTGTATGACCTCCCGATCTTTAATTTCAAGCTCTATGTCTTTTCTCCTTGTTTTTTTTTTTTTTTTTTGTTCTACCTTTATTCATTTGGCTCTGTGGGTTCCTATGCCAAGACGTTCTGGTTATATTGTTCTCAGATGCTCTCCGTGCTTGCCCATCAGTTTCTTTTCCGTCTTTTCTTCTTCTTAGCGCTCACCGGTTGTAAACTCTGGCAGAAAGTTCTGATCGTTCGTCCACTTCTAGAATTTGATCTTGTTCCAGAACTTAAACTTTGTGTGTACATCAGTTTTACAGATGGGGCTTGTTTATGTGCAGACTGTTGGTTTCTTGCTTCTCAGACAAATGCACTGACTTTGAAGGATTCCCACCCTTTCAAATCGCATACAGCGCTCCCACATCTTTCTACTTCCGACTAAATCACGTTACATTTTGGCGGAGTCCCCTCAAAAATTGGTTACTGCAAGCGTTTCAGCGTTTCCATGTTGCATTGTGTGACATTTTAACGTGCTTACAAGGTTCTTTGTTCTAAATGTATTTATATTACACATCGACAAGCGGATGTTGTGAAGTGGATATACAAGATTTTCAAAACTTTGTTGTTATATTAGATAACAGCAATTTGAATATAAATTCACGGCAGACAGTCGTGTTGTGATGTGTGTCACTGTTTATAGTCAGTAGTTTGGATTTTTGGGGAACTGGCTGTTTATTCTTTTTCTACTTTGAGTGTAGAAATCTTACTTATAAATAGAGAAGGCCGTGTATGGAGCGCCAGACGCGAGGCAAACGGGTTGACAACCTCGCCACAGAAACCCCCAAACCCCAGGCTCTTTTTGTTGTGATTATTGAATATTATTCGCACGGTACTCCATACAGAGCCTTCTCAAAAGTTCAAACGTTCCACAAACGAAGACTGACTGATGATGCCGGTTCTGTTTTGGTTAATCGAATGTCTTGTCCCCTTTGGGGAAATGTTTATTTCTTGCAGCTCCATGTTCAATTAATCTTAGACATTCCCCTTGTGGGACGCAACTTTTCATTATTTTGAAGCTCCCACCCTGGCTGTTGCCAAGGGCCGCAATATAACATGACGATTGAATGCTGTTTGTGGGACCTCTCCACGGGTGATCCTCATCCGCATGTTGGCACTTTGTGTCACCGGGGGTTCATCGCTTTGTGTGATGTCCTGGCGGGGTAAAATTTACTTACTTACTAGCTCCACGCTTCCCAGCCCTGTACTTCGCTAAGAGTGAAACGGGGTAGGCTATCTGGGTGTTGCACTATTGAGATACTGGGTCCAAGTTCAAGTTCTTTTGAGAAAATAATGAAAAGGTCGACAACTTTCAGACTGCTGCTAGCTAGCCGAGGCTGCTGACAGTCTTCGCCTATATTTGTGGTCTGGGTTATTTAAATCACTTTCGTGACTGAATTCTAGTGTTTGCGCCATTTCTGGGCTTGGTGCTTCCATCCGAATCAGACCTCTCGTCCTCCACCCTGTTGTTAGTTGTGCATGTCTTCCCTCGTCTTACTTAGTATTTCCGGTTTGTGTTGTTTCCCTTTGATTTGTCCGAGATACTGTATTGGGTTCTGTTTTACAGATAATAATGACGATAATTTCTAAATTCCGGGTTCAGGGCTGGCACGAGTTTCGCATCTGCAACGTGGCAAGATCGGGTGGCGTGGAAGCCACACAAGCATGCCTTGATCGGACTCTGCTAGCAGACGAGAACATGCAGACTCGCTTCTCCAAAGGCACCACTTCTACGGGCTTCTTTGATTTCCATCTAGTCTTGCCAGCAGGGTTGACCTGTGACCATTGTGTCATTCAGTGGAAATGGAAATGTGGTAGGTCGTTTTATGTGTGTGAATTTGCATGTGTGTGAATTTGCATGTGTGTGAATTTGCATGTGTATGAGAGTGTGCTTCTGAAAACATCGATGTCCGTCCTCTCAATCGATCAGTTTCCGTCTTCACACAAAAAAACTGTCTGCAATGGATCTCCAACACGCTCTGCCGCTTGTCTTCGTAGTGAACTCAGACTTCTGTTCGTCCATCTCTTGATGTTGTCATTCCACATCTATAGCTGTCTATCTCTTTCTCTCTTGTCTTTAACTTTTCACCCCCGGTATGGTTTTTAAAAGAGTGTCATGTCTTTTAATGTTACCGGACTGTTTCACTTCTCTCTCTTTTAGTGCCACCCCTCCCCCACCCTCCGTAACCTTAACCTATAACCCCTCCACCCACCACAAATACACACATATGTATATATACATATATACTTACACACTTGAAGTGGATTTAATTCTTGTATGCGGATCCTTAAAAAATGTGTAACGAACTTACCCCTCCCCCCTTTTTTTTATTCCCCAAAAAAACCCCTCAAACCCACCCCCCCCCCCCCCCCCCCCCCCCCCCCCCCCCCCCCCCCCCCGCTCCCCGAATCCATCTACAATGTTTTTCTTCTGTTAGCGCCCTTGGTTTTTGTAGAATTTTCTCTTTCGAAAATAATCACATTGGCCGCTTTTACTTTCCATGATATTCCTAGTATCCTTGTGAGGTTAAGCCAGTCCAAATACCCATCCCTGCCTTTCTTGGTGACTTCAAAGATAGTATCATGTTTTTGCTCTATTCTGTGACTAAGAGTTGTTATATTAATTCATTTTTTTCCAGATTCTTCAATCCATCTGTCCCTCGTGTCTCTTTTCAAAACACGTTCATACTCAAGCGCATTTTCCCGTGTATCAGACGATACGTTTTCTTACATTTTGTCGTTTAAACTTTGGATCGTCTTATATATGAAATATGTTTAAAATATTTATTTCCTAATTCTGGGCTGAAAACAAAATAGAGGACGTCTTATAAAAGGGGGCGTCTTATACATGGAAAATACAGTAATACTTCAAATATAACACTTTTGGGAAGAAAAAGTACATGAAACAACTTTTTAAGGTAGAAATGGATTTGTTCTTCTGCGTTTTTTTTTCGAAGTTGGAGTGCATCTGCCTGGGAGCAGTATGCATACATATATGTGACGTGCATGCAAAATTCAAGCTCTGGAGCAAGCCTATAGTCCAGAAGTGGACGAATAACCAGAACGTTCAGCCGCATTTTGCAGCTGGTCAACGTTAAAAGGAAGAAGATTAGTATCATAATGTTCTCTTTACTTTCAGGAAATGACTGGGGATGTGATAAACCAAGCAACAACAGTGCGCCTGCGTGCTGCGTGGGCTGTGGAGAGAGACAAGAAGAATTCTATGGATGCTCAGACGTCACCATCAACCCCCGAAACAGCCGCTACACAACCACGCCAAAAACTGTCCCTACTACAACAGCTCGACAAATAACAACCTGGCGCTACACCACCACAACTCGACCAACAGCGAGGACAACTTGGCGATATCCCTACATCACCACAACTCGACCAACAGCGAGGACAACTTGGCGATATCCTTACACCACTCCAACTACCACGCGAAGACCCATTACCTACCCGGCATACACCATGCGACCACAGTGGCCTTTCTACCCCACCACAACCAGGAGACCATATGGTGGATACAACTACAACCCAGTTTACGAACACTTTAAGCGGTATCCAAACACCATTCCTTCCGGAAACAGCATCAAATTTCCCGGCTCTGGCAATAGCAATACAAACAACAACCGACCTAGCAGCAGAAGTTTGCAGGAAGATTTCTTGAGCGCGATTCTGGGCCGCGATTCTATAATTGTCAATAAAGACGGCCTCTCTGTGCCGATTCCTATGGTCGACAACACATCCCCTGTTGTGGTGAACGATACGGACATGAGCGACTACCTCAGAAAGGACAGGTTTTGTGCTGCCTGTCAGTACAACTGTGAGTTTCGTGGCTGCTACAGGTACTGTCCTGACACTGTCATTTACTGCCCCGCAGCCGGCTCGTAAACTGAAAGAACAGTTAGTTTCTTGACTGATAGTGCTCTGCCAGTTGTTATTTTTTAAAACCTAATTGCTTGTTGCTAGTTTTTGCGGTTGTCGTTGTTATTGCATTTGCCTTCCTCTTCGTCCTTTTTTCTTCTTCCTATTATTATTATTCTTGTCATTCTTCTTCTTCTTCTTCTTCTTCTTCTTCTTCTTCTTCTTCTTCTTCTTCTTCTTCTTCTTCTTCTTCTTCTTCTTCGTCTTCTTCTTCTTCTTCTTCTTCTTCTTCTTCTTCTTCTTCTTCTTCTTCTTCTTCTTCTTCTTCTTCTTCTTCTTCTTCTTCTTCTTCTTCTTCTTCTTCTTCTTCATATTAGTATACTACTACTACTACTACTACTACTACTACTACTACTACTACTACTACTACTACTACTACTACTACTACTACTACTACTACTACTACTACTACTACTACTACTACTGTTGCTACTACTACTACTACTACTACTACTACTACTACTACTACTACTACTACTACTACTACTACTACTACTACTACTACTACTACTACTACTACTACTACTACTACTTCTTCTTCTTCTTCTTCTTCTTCTTCTTCTTCTTCTTCGTCTTCTTCTTCTTCTTCTTCTTCTTCTTCTTCGTCTTCTTCTTTTTCTTCTTCTTCTTCTTCTTCTTCTTCTTCTTCTTCTTCTTCTTCTTCTTCTTCTTCTTCTTCTTCTTCTTCTTCTTCTTCTTCTTCTTCTTCTTCTTCTTCTTCTTCTTCTTCTTCATATTAGTATACTACTACTACTACTACTACTACTACTACTACTACTACTACTACTACTACTACTACTACTACTACTACTACTACTACTACTACTACTACTACTACTACTACTACTACTACTACTACTACTACTACTACTACTACTACTAACTACTACTACTTCTTCTTCTTCTTCTTCTTCTTCTTCTTCTCTTCGTCTTCTTCTTCTTCTTCTTCTTCTTCTTCTTCTTCTTCTTCTTCTTCTTCTTCTTCTTCTTCTTCTTCTTCTTCTTCTTCTTCTTCTTCTTCTTCTTCTTCTCATATTAGTATACTACTACTACTACTACTACTACTACTACTACTACTACTACTACTACTACTACTACTACTACTACTACTACTACTACTACTACTACTACTACTACTACTACTACTACTACTACTACTACTACTACTACTACTACTTTTTCTTCTTCTTCTTCTTTTTCTTCTTCTTCTTCTTCTTCTTCTTCTTCTTCTTCTTCTTCTTCTTCTTCTTCTTCTTCATTAAATCCCGACAATAGTCCTATGTAAATGTTTCTACCATGTTGCCACTTATCTGCTTCCATTCCGTCTCCTTCTTCTTCTTCTCCTGTGAAGATGATAATGCCGTTGATAATGATAATGATGTAGGACAAGGAAAAAAAAGTCGGGACATTCCCATAAGCACTCTGTCCCCCTTCACCAGCAGCAAGCGCAGAGTTCCCATTCCGAAGACTGCAAAGCTGCCTCGCTTTTCCCTTTCAAGATGTTTCTTTGGGAGACTTAGGAGTGCTGCTTGTTGATTTTTTGTCATCACAATTCAAAACACGCTAGATATCTTCCAGAAAAATCTTTAGTACTTACTTCCTTTGCTCGGTGTTTGTGTCCAGGTTTTATTCTTTCAACTACTCTTCTATGAAAAAAAATGTATGTTATATATCTGAAATATTAGCAAATTTTCTGTTAACCTTTCTGTAATGATAGTTTACCAATAAACAATGTTCCTAAAATGTTAAAATCTATTACCTGTTTGCAAAATGTCTGTTAAATTGTTCATTTGTTTACAAATTACCAAAGATTTACAAAAATTTAATAAAATTGGTTAACAATTCAGTTTATGAATGTAATTCGTATTTATTGTGCACGATGTTGTGTGTTTTCTCTTCCTCCTTGCTGTTGTTGTTGTTGTTCATCATCATCATCTTCTTCTTCTTCTTCTTCTTCTTCTTCTTCTTCTTCTTCTTCTTCTTCTTCTTCTTCTTCTTCTTCTTCTTCTTCTTTTTCTTCTCTTCTTCTTCTTCTTCTTCTTCTTCTTCTTCTTCTTCTTCTTCTTCTTCTTCTTCTTCTTCTTCTTCTTCTTCTTCTTCTTCTTCTTCTTCTTCTTCTTCTTCTTCTTCTTCTTCTTCTTCTTCTTCTTCTTCTTCTTTTTCTTCTTCTTCTTCTTCTTCTTCTTCTTCTTCTTCTTCTTCTTCAAAAATTGTCTTCCGGCCATTGCCCCTTTTAAAACATCTGGGTTATTCTTTCTTGCTGTACGATGAATTTGAAGCCAACTTCTGTAAAGCACCCCCATCTGTATATAAATAGAGTCGGCCGTGTGAAAACCCACACTTCTAAGGCCTCAAGAACTTGTCTGGTAGCTTTTTAATTAATTGACCAAGAAGAAGAAGAAGAAGTAGAGAAGAAGAAAACGGTAGAGATGATAAAGTCGTAGATGAGGATATTGATGTAAGACAAGCAGGAGAAGCGGAGAAAGAAGTCTGCAGGGGTGATAATAATATATTAACAACAGGAAATGCGTAAACAAATATAGAAAAAACAAACACCTTCTATATATGGTAATATTTTAATCATGGTGAAGGTCATGGTGGCCTGGAGCGAATGGGGATGGAGGAAACAGCTTCCGGAAAACGACGCAAAGACAGACCTCTGCGAATGTTAGTACAAGAAACTGAAGGGACACTGGTAATGCAAGCACAGATGGCTGACTGACTGACTAACTGACTTTCTACCCCACCAGGACATCACACAAGCGATAAACACCCGATGACCCAGTGTGCCACCATGTGGATGAGGATCACCTGTGGAGAAGTCACAAAAACCGCGTTCAGCCATTAGACCATATTTATGGTCGGGCTATATTGCGGCCCCTGGCAAGAGCCAGGGTGGAGCTTCAAATAACGAAAAATTTCATCATGAAAAGGACGGGAATTATTTTCATTCTCAGTAGCATAGATGGCTCGAGAACTGATTAGATAAAGGGTAACTTTGAGAAGTGTCGTTGACGACACACTGAGCTGGAGTGGGCTTCCAGGTGCCTTACAGTCCAGGTTTCCGCGCCTTTGGTATAGTCGTTAGTCGTTAGCCGTTACGGTTCCGGCATCACAGCAAAAGAGATTGGCGCATAATAGCTGAACTGCCTATGCCAGTGATTCCACTCACAAACTGATAAGCTGGATACTTCAAGTGTTTGCCGTAGCCATACATAGTGTCCCCAGTCAGCAAAACACATACGATTTGATCTGGCAAACCATAAGGTGCATGCCTCCTTAAACACACTGTGAGACCAGGCGTCATCGCTGAAAATCAACTTCATTCGACGAATAGCTGACCATTCTCCACATGTCATCGGTCAACTTGCAGCCACGGCCAGCAAATAAATAGCAGCTATAGCACACGCCTTGTCCCAGGAACGCAACGAAGAAAAATACATCACCCATCATTGCCATTATGTACGAATCTAGAACTCAGTCAATAACCGATAATCACAGCTCATAGTGCCGCCAGGAGCACTAAACTCAGTAGCTCCGGCTGCAAACCGGACTGCCACAATTTTGCAACATCAAAACTGGAAGAGAAACGGCGACAAAGGACGGTCAACATAAGCCAAGTTCTCAACCGTCATCCAGTCCCCATCACTGTCGGAACAGGAAGTCGCCTTTGGTATAATTTCGGGCAAAGGATAGAGCGGATTAAAGATCCACTACGGCCAATCTTCACTGTGAACAGGGCTTGATTCTTCTTCTTCTTTGCGTACACTATCTGTAAACTCTGGTGCAAAGCTCTGATTGCGTCCTGTTCCAGAATCTGAGTGTTGCGTGTACATCCGTTTTACAGATCTGGCACATCTATGTGCAGACTATTGGTTTCTTGCTTCTCAGGGCGCCGGGGGGGGGGGGGTTTGATTGATTGACAAATCATTGCAACCATGATATCAGGGTTTATTGGCTCTTGAAAGTACTCAGCCCATCTTACGAACCTCTGGTTTGGATTAAATAATACATTGCTTCTTATACTGTTTATGATGGTTGTTGGATTGTAACTTTCCTCTCTTGCTCTCATATTTTAAACTTATCTGTAAACTTTTTTAGGCCGACTTCTTTCTACATGTGACCCTCTACTCTCGATACTTTTTCCATGATTCATCTGTTGAAGTTGTGATCATATTATTCTTTTTAGTATCTCTTATGTACATGTAAGGTTGTTGCGTATCCTTTACAGGACGTTGCAGAACCAACCTCAACAGCCCCTGGTTTTTCTAGGCAAATTTATGTCCAATAGTTTGCCATTTGCTACTGGACGGTCGGCGTTCTTGATACCACTGTCGAAACCACGGCAAGGCTCATGGCCCGCAGCTGGGATTGAACCCGGCATTACGAAGCGTTCGCATCGACTTAGCCACAGACATATGTATGTGTATGTATATATATATTCCTATTATTAATCTTTATGTAACACAATCTTGTTTTCTCTAGATTTAGTCCACTGTCTGCGTGCTTCTTTTTTTTTTCAGAAACGATGACTTTGACACTGTTATTCCACCATGTCCTAATTTTTTTATTCTGTTTTTTTTTTTTAAGAGTGTTGAAGATAGCAGAAGGTTTGCCTATTCGTAGTGTACATGTGAAGGTCACAACAGTTCTGGAACAAGGACTAAAGTCCAAAAGTGAACGAACAAACAGAACTTTTCCGCCGGAGTTTACAGCCGGTGAACTTGAAGAAGAAGAAGAAGAAGAAGAAGAAGAAGAAGAAGAAGAAGAAGAAGAAGAAGAAGAAGAAGAAGAAGAAGAAGAAGAAGAAGAAGACGGGGGAAAAAAGGCATATTCACCACACAAATTAATCAATTTATAACAATATACTGGTGATTAATGGAAACAGAATTCCATGGACTATCAGTGGGAAAAGCGGGGATAACTCTAACAACAAATTATGTCCCCCTGCTACTTTCCCTTTCGTAGGCCCTTTGTTTTCGTGTCTCCGCCCTATTGTCTCCAGTCCTAGTTGAAATGTGTAGCTAACGTTATTGTATTACATTGTTAGACACCGAGGGAAACGGTAGGGAATAGTTGTTGCACACGCTTTTATATATAATGCAATGAAATAAATATAAATGCTAGTTATACTAGGCTGAAGTTTCCGTACGGGAACCAGTAATTGTAACTTCTTTATCTTGGAATGTTGTAGTTTAATGGGCACCTGGGAGGATCTGCTTTGTTGGTCTGCCATCCAGACCGATATTTTTTTTTTAATCTCAGGGAAGTAAAGCTTAAAGGAGCAGCTCGGATGGCACAAATCGATCGATCAGTCGTGATAGTTTAAATGTGGCAGAAGTGGTAGGGGTATTGGTGTAGCTGAGTAATGATAGATTAGTACTACTACTGGTAGTAAGAGTTAACAGTAGTAGTACTAGCAACATTTTAGAATGTGTTAATAAATATATTATATTTTATTCAATCATGTGGCTTACTACATGCTTCCTGTAGAAAAAAATGTTTTTTTGTGTGTGTAGGATCTTGGGTTCTGTTCACATTTCCCAGCCGAGGATTAGAGTAACTTACCTTGCTATTCATGCCTTCTTAGATCGCTGGACCGCTCCTATGTTGCAGGGGTGTTATGATATGGCTTGGTTTGGTGTTTGCTCGGCGTATGTAATGTTTGTGGGAGGTTGTGTTGTTGTGAGTCTAGTTCAGGCGCCACAGGCGCCTGTGTACAAGTAAGAAGTATTGCAGGGGGAACCCCTGCAGGTGCAACGATTCTTGGCTATCGAAACTGGGATGTTTTTTGTATTTCAACGTTTTTTGGTGGTTTCTGCTCGAGAGAGAGAAAGCAGTTAAAGGAGCATAGGAATAGAAAAAATATTGCTGTTTCCATACTGCTGAAACATGGCATAGGTAGCAGAACGTAAAAATAATCGTGCAAATGAGCAATAAGAAGATGAGAAAAGCAGCAACTGTTAAACCGTTCACAAAAAGGAAAACATGACTCCCCCACAACATAGGAGAGGTCCAGCGACCTAAGCAGGCATGGTGGCAAGGGCAGTTACTCTAATTCTGGGCCTGGAAATGTGAACAGCATCGGATCTTGTATAAAGAAAATATTCTTGCTGTGAAAATACTTACAGTATCTTGTATAGGTTATATAGGAAATAGTTATATTCTTCTCCCCATTGTGGGCTTGAGGCTCCATTGGGGGAGGGGGGGGGGGGAGAGAATAGATCCACTGCCCTCTAACCAGCATCTCGTAAAACACGACTAGGCACGTTTCCTTGAGTGTCAGAGTGCATCTGCCTGAGAGGCAAGAAACTAACAGCCTGCATACAAATAAGCCAGATCTGTGAAATGTATGTGCATACAAAACTGGACGTTCTACACGAGTTAAACATCCAGGAGAACTGGCTCATAAAAGGTAGAAGTATTTTGGCCACATGAAACGTCATGATGGCTTGGAAAAGACAAAGGTGTTGAAGGGTGCAGTATCCAGTCTGTCAGAAATGAACAGAGTCTGGCCAGAGATGACTACCACTTACTTGACAGGCATGGGCAGGTCATTATTCTACGCCTCAGGACATAACAAACTTAAGCAAATGCACAAGCTACGTCTAAGTAGTTCACCTTTGTGCCCGTGTGGGCTGTATGTGCACACTACAGAACATGTCCTGCAAGAGTGTCCCTTGTTGAGCCTATTAAGAAGGAAAAACTGACCTACTGAGTCAACACTTCACTCAAATCTGTGTGGAACTAAAAGGAAACTCCTAAAAACCCTCAAGTTAATCACAAGAACTTGTCTGTCGGTGTAAAACAGAAAGCGAACACAAGAAAAAGAAGAATAGGGTGCAGTTTGTGGAAGACAAGGCAGGGCTCGACCTCTTCGAAGATGGATACAGGACATTGAAGATGCATTGGAAATGAAAGCACATGGGGTTGGAGAGCTGGCTAGGAAAAAGGATACTGTCATGCGTGCTATGAAGAGAGTGACGTTCTGTAAAGGACTTGCTGATTGATGTTGATACAAAACTGAAGTGAAAACTGAAGACCAAAGTCGTTAAGTGATCAACCAATCAGAACTTTCCGCCAGAGCTTATAAATAATAAATGCTAAGATAAAAAAAGAAATGTTTCTTGAGAAAAACATGTCTTGAAATCATTTGTATAGAAAATATGTTCCTTATGAAAATACACGCTTTTGTAGAAAATATTTTCCTTGTGAAAATTTAGTCTTAACTCTTTGAATCCCAGGGGGTTTAGCATCAGAGGCCCAAGGGGTAGTCAAAAGAGATATAAAATCTGTGCATCTTTCGTTCATTAGGCCTCTAGGCGGGAACCTATGAACGTATGATGCGTTCCTTGGGACTCAAAGAGTTAAATTATATAAAATAAATAAGTGTTGTCTTTTATTTTTTCCAGTTTGATTGGCATCATGTCCATCATTAGAAATGGAAATGCCAGACAATACCTTAAATCTCTACGTGATATGAGTGCCCATAAATTTCAAGGCATATTCCTCAGCTTTACAAACTTCATTGTTTCAAGTCGACTTAAAATTCACAGCAGTAATAGGTTATCACATTTGGCTACTTGGCATCTCATTCCAGCACCATATCTGGCTACTCACCATAATATTGCAGCAACTTGCTATTCAGGATCTAGTCAGTTGGGACATCCCAGGAATACGTCTGCAAATCAGGGCTTTCATGATTACTTTAATAGAAGAGGTAATGGATACAACCAAACAAGGGATACAATTTACTCAAATCTAGTCAAATACCTGTCTCTTTTCTTGACTGGAGTTGGTTTTTCCTACATAATCTATCGAGTTAAGGATCATATCCTAGAGCTGCAGCTGTCCAATATCTTACCAGTAGCCAGATGTTCCTCCCAAGAGACGCAGGTGACCCAATCAGAGGGTCAGCCTACACAGAAATGTGATTGTTCATCTAAGAAATCACGCAAGAAACCTAAGAAACCAAAGAAATCAGACAAGAAGTCTAAGAAAGCAAAGAAATCAGACAAGAAGCCTAAGAAAGCAAAGGCATCCACAGCTACCGGTGAAGATCAGAGAATCCCTCTTCAGGCAGCAGTTGAAAGAACCCAGAAGCTTTGTCGAAGAAGAAAGGTACTTGTTTTTTTCTTCTTCAATATTTCATACCGAAATCTCTTCTTGATCTTTAGTGATCTCTGGTCGTACGCTACAACATTGTGGGCTATAAACTATGATGTCAGCTTCAGGTCTCTTCGGTTACTCCAAACCTTTGTTATCAAACTGTCCAAGATATTTTTCCTTGGTCTAACCCTGCCTCTCTTTCCCTCCATCTGTTCCATTCTTTACTTAGCCATCTAATGAAAATTGGATGGGACATGATTTCTGTTACCAGGTCTACTGGGTGTGGCCACAGGTTGTTTCACAACTCCTCCAGGAGAGGACAGTCTTGTAAGGCATGTTCTGGAGGTCTGTTTAGCATGCAGAGGCACCCCAGTGACTCAAAGTACCACTATTTGGTTAAGAATCAAATAGTTGATAAAACAGGAGTGACTGCAGAGGAGTTATTAACAATAAATTAATTCACTGCATTATGGCTAAGAGACTTAACAGAAGGAGAAATGAGAACATTGTACACATTCAAAACAGATAGGACAGCAGCTGTGTTTATTTTCGCTGGCTGTCAATTCTCTTGGATTGTTCTGTTTCATAATCATGGACTGCTATTTTATGCGCATTTCCAACGCAGGATATTATGTGTTTTTCGTGGGAACAGCGTGTATTGTGGTTGTGCTGTGTCGGGGCGGGATAATGACCGATAGTTTTGGCAGCCTCGACCACGCTGCCTTCGCAATGTTTTGATCGCGGCGGTCCACTCGGGAAGACAGAATCTCGTCAGCAGGGGACTGCAACTGTCTAGAGAGCAAACTCGATAAAAGCTGTCCCCAGAAACGGAATGTGTCAACCATATATTTGGTGGAGAGGAATCGACACATACGGTTAACTCAATGGCCAAAACAGATAGGTCCCGGCCGAAACATCTTTTTGTTTTGTGTGCGAACATTGTTCTCGTTCCCCCTTTTAAACTTCTTAGTCATAGTTCAGAGTCCCTGTGAGGGTTCTGAGACCCCATTGTGGGGAAAACAAGAACAGACCCACTGTCTCCCCAACAAGCATGTCATAGGAGTCAACTGACTGGGGACATCCTTTGAATTTGGAGTGCATCTGCCTGAGTGCAAGGAACCACAGGTCTGCATACAGATAAGTCAGATCTGTGAAACGGATGTGCACGCAACACTCAGGTTCTGGACTATGACTAAAGTCTGGAGGGGGGGATGAACACCCAGAACTTTGCGCTGGAGTTTACAGCTGATGAAGGTGAAGAAGAAGAAGATAGCTCAGAGGATTAATGTCTGAGAATCCGACAGGAGCAAATCCCAGCGATCCTGTTCATCTGTATACCAGTTATGTCAGGCACCTGATGGTGACGAAGCTAACACTTATAAAAACACTGAGACATGCCATTAAACCATATAATGTGGTTATATAACCGGGAAGGCTAGCGAGGTCAACAAATGCCTGCAGAAGTCAGATGTGTCGGCCAAAAGATGGAAATATCATAGCAGGCAGAATGCAGTTATATCTTCGGATGAACGTAGAAGAAGAGGATTATGATTACATTAGAGAACCTGATAGTTACAAAGTAACCTATAGACCTGTGCAGGTGGGTTAGTATACAACTTTAAAAAAAGGTACAAGGTGTTTCTTCTTATAATGTAAGACTTTCTCTTGGCTTTGGGTTCGGGTTTTAGCCAGTGAAATATATCACAACTTTGGCGGGAACATTACGTTGTTCTTTTTTCCCAGCAAGGGCTGGGATTTTTTTCACGTGGACTTGGACTACTAGTAATTCCCCCTGGTCTCTGGGTAGTGAGATGGGATACCCGTGTGAATTGTTGCGCACTTTAAAAATCCCTTGGCAGTTGGAAATTGAAAAGTGAAGCCTAACGGCGCTGCCAGGGAAAAATTTGGCGTTAATAATCTACCCAAAGTATTTCAGGATCCTCGCTGGTGCTACAGAGCCTGTGCACTGTGCTGAGCTTCTTCTGGGTCAAACTTGAGTTAGAAGTAGAATGGAGCACTTATGGGTTACTACCCATGTGCCGTGATGTTGAACGTTGTTCAACACCTCAAAACTTTTTCCTCCTTCCCTAGTTCTTCTTCTTCTTCTTTTTTCCTTCTTTTTCTTCTCCTCTTTTCTCTTCTTCTCCTTCATCTTCTTCGTTGTTCAACAAAAAGGTGGTTGGCACATTGTGTTGTGGTTTACAGCTAGTCTGCTGTTGCTGTGCCTTTCAACCCAACATATTCTATGTCAACAGTCTCAATTAGTCACCTATTAATTTGCTAATGGTCTGTCCTGCCCCCTCCCTAAACCTAAACTCTTTGAGTCCCAGGAGATTTAGCATCAGAGGCGCAAGGGGTAGTCTAGAGAGACTGAAATCAGCGCATCTTGCGTTCACTGGGCTTCTAGGTAGGAACCTATGAATGTGTGATGCGTTCCTTGGGACTCAAAGAGTTTAATGGGGCCTAATAATGCACACATGGGCGGAACATCATCAACATGTCTAATCTTCGCCAGTATGCATGTGCTGTGCTGAATTATGACATCAGTTCTTGTATACTTCTCCTGTTGTGTGTGCAGTTTTAAAACATCAACAGCACCATTCTTCCACACTCCACTGGGAATTAAAAGTATAGAACCTTTTTCCTTGCTTTCAGGCATATAGGGCTAGACCAACATTTTATAAGCCAGTCAGTACTTGATGGGTAATGGGGTCAACAACACGCTGGCCGCCACTGGGAAGTACCAGTACGATTCTTCTACAGTGCACTAGGAAGTAGAATCTCTGACACTAACATGATTGTGTGACATGGGAGCAAAATATGGTGAAGCACGTCTATGCTGCCTTGAGGCTGAGATAGGAGACATTTTAACCAACCTCTCATGGGAACAGTTAGTAGAAGTAACTTGGAGAGGCTGCTACATCAGAGGACTGAGCACACATGGGAATGCCTAGTGTGCAATGATGTCGATTCTGATAACATAACATAACTAGGATGTACCATTTTTATTAGATCATACTTTACTGTAAGTCATTTCTGATACCTGCAGCTCTTCCATGCCATGTCCAACATCATATTCCTTGGTTTTCTTCTGTCTCTTTGCCTCCAGCTGTTCTGTTCTATACTTGATCATCTGAACAGTAAATTAAAATGCGATTTGGCATGTATTTCTTTTGCCAGGAAGAAGTCGGAAGCCCAGGAATTGTAGTTTGTGTTAGTGTGGATGGAAGACAGGTGTATGCTGAAGGTAAGAGACAAATTTTGGTATGTTTTTTTTTTGGTTTTCTTAAACTGATAATACATTTTGCCATTTTAACTGTTTTTTTTTTTTAGAAAACTACAACTTTCTACCCACAGGGGGGGGGGGAACTGGTGACATTTCTGTCAGGTGCCAACTGACACTGTGGGTATGGAAAGTCTTTGTTGGCTTCTGAGGAGAAGGGAAAGTTCAGTGATTTCAGCTCTTGGTTCATTCATTTGTTCATTTTGAAACAAACTGAGTGCTTACAGTTTTTTTGTTTCTGTTAGTTTACTAACATGACTGAGTGTAAATGCATTTTACAGTTAAATGCATAGTGGCTGCAAAAGCTTGGCGACATCTAATAGTTAATAGAACAATTGAGTTTTATTTTTTGATAGTGTGTATCAGAGAGATAAAGAACAAAATAGGACAGGCCAAAACTGCCTTTTAGAAAATGACAAACATTTTGTGCAATAAATCTGTGTCATTGGAGGTTTGGAAAAAATTCTCGCAAGCTAAATAGAGCCAGTTTTAACAAACGTCTGTGAATCCTGGAAATTAATAAACAAGCCGAGCAAACAATATCTTAAGGCCTTGGAGATGTGGTTTTACAGAAGAATCCGTGGTTTTACAGAAGAATCCGTGGTTTTACAGAAGAATCCATAGATTTCCTTGGACAGCTAAGAAGAGCAACCCGGATGTTTTCAAGGAGGTGACAGCTCGAGGACAACTAATCACAAACATCAGAAAAAGACAATCATCAATTTTCACTCATGTTATTAGAAGAGGGAAACTAGAATAATTTTGTGACCACTGGAAAGATCTGTGGAAAAAAAGACAGAGGAAGACAGCATGAGAAGATTCTTTATAGCCTTTTGTCGTGGCTTGGAAAGGTGGCAGCACACAAACTGATACACGCATTTGCAGATCGCAGAGTGTGGAGAGGGGTGGTCACCCATGCCAGCTGGCAAGGCACTTGATGATGATGTACAAAAGTTGAGTGTCATTTGATAGTGGTACAAATTTTGAATACCATTTGACATTAGGTACAAAAGTTGAGTGTCATTTGATAGTGGTACAAATTTTGAATACCATTTGACATTAGGTACAAAAGTTGAGTGTCATTTGATAGTGGTACAAATTTTGAATACCATTTGACATTAGGTACAAAAGTTGAGTGTCATTTGATAGTGGTACAAATTTTGAATACCATTTGACATTAGGTACAAAAGTTGAGTGTCATTTGACATTAGGTACAAAAGTTGAGTGTCATTTGACATTAGGTACAAAAGTTGAGTGTCATTTGACATTAGGTACAAAAGTTGAGTGTCATTTGACATTAGGTACAAAAGTTGAGTGTCATTTGATAGTGGTACAAATTTGAATACCATTTGACATTAGGTACAAAACTTGAGTGTCATTTGACATTAGGTACAAAAGTTGAGTGTCATTTGATAGTGGTACAAATTTGAATACCATTTGACATTAGGTACAAAAGTTGAGTGTCATTTGACATTAGGTGCAAAATTTGAATGTCATTTTACTGTAGGTACAAAATTTGTGGGTCGTTTGACACTAGACACAAATTTTGAGTCTTATTTGACAGTAGGTTCAAAAACTGAGTGTCATTTGACATTAGGTACAAAATTTGAATGTCATTTGACTGTAGGCGCAAAACGTGAATGTCATTTGATAAAGGGTTTCACACTTGGGTGCCATTTTGCTCCTATCATTCAGGCTTCGGCTACTCCGACTTGGAAAATGAAATCCCGATAAAGCCGTCTTCTGTTCTGCGTATAGCCAGCATCAGTAAAGCCGTCACTGCCACCATCACTGCTAAAGCCTGGGAGGAGGGACGCATTGATTTAGAGAAAACAGTGCAGCATTATGTTCCCAGCTTTCCGCAGAAGGAATTTATGGGAGAGAAGGTCAGTTGACAGCATTGTGTGATCGTTTTATGATTCGTAAGGAATCTACAAGAAAAATAAAACAGTTACTTATAAAATACAAACATTCATTGACTGGTGCCTGCGCAGAATAGAGAGAATTAAACGAACAAATTCCTGTGAATCAAGAGGTGAAGAAAAGATGCTGCTTTGAATAGGACTTATGTTGAGAATACCTAAGAACAGTATAACTAGAATGTCTTTGCACTGGGATCCACAACAGAGACATAAAGGCAGACCCAAAAAAAAAAACCAAAAAAAACCACAGAGAAGGAAGCTAGAACATAAAATTAAAAAAGATCAGGATGACATAAGGTGAGCTGCATGCAGGAGCAATGGATAGAACGACTTGAGTTTGTTAAGGCCCTATGCTCCATTGGGGGAATAAAAGACCCTTTAATACAGTTCCTCATGTTGTGGCAACCCTTTAATACAGTTCCTCATGTTGTGACAACCCTTTAATACATTTCCTCATGTTGTGGCGACCCCCCCCCCCCCCCCCCCCCAACCATACAATTATTTTCATTGCTACTTCATAACTTCGGTAATTATGTGTTTTCCAATGGTCTTTGCCGACCCCTGTGAAAGGGTCATTTGACCCACAAAACTGCTCTAAAAGATGTGGTATCATTCTGAGTTAGAATTTCACCATCTGGTTTCTGGGACCTCACTTCGGGTGGGGGGTAAGGAGGGAGGGGGGGGGGATAGGCCCACTGCCTCCCTTAACAGTTTTGTCATAAGAGTTGCCTAAGGGGCAAGGAATCAGTAGTCTGCATACAAATAAACTAGATCTGTAAAACAAATGTGCATGCAAAACTCAAGTTCAGGAACAAAATTAAAGTCTAGAAGTGGATGAACAACCAGAAATGTGTCCAGGAGTTTGCAGACAAGGAACGCAAAGAAAAAGAAGTAATTCAAATGGTAATGAAACATGCAAAAGTTGTTTCATGTTGTCTTTTGTGTTCGATTGAACTTTCAGGTGGAAATCACTGTACTGCAGCTGCTGAACCACACCTCGGGGATCCGACACTACAAGTCGAAAGATGACCCGGTTTATGCTTTTGATAAACCCATTGCAGATCTGGTCGGACTTGTGAGGAATGCCAGCTGGCAACCTTTCTATAAGACGGTAAATACATTTATCATCGCAATGTGATGCCGTTGTAAATTTGAAAAAAAGAAGACACAAACAATAGATTACACAGTTTATATTTTGTAAACAAAAAGACATGATTCTAACACTGCGGCTGCCTTGGTAAAACAGACAGTTGTGTTTGTTGTTGAATTTGTATTTCAGTTAAAAAGCATTGACTTATTTGTTTTATTTATGTAATTGGGACTGTAGTATGCACCTAAAGAGATTCAGCGAAATATGCCAGGCAATAAATTGTGCAATCTATTGTTTGGAGAAGTAGAAACTGTATACACAAGGGGGGTAGATGGTCATAGACCACAAGGCAGACCAAGAAGATGATGGAGAGACTAGGTGTCACCAACCGGAAAGAAAAGGCCAACCAGAGAGATGAATGGAGGTGGCAGTGAACCTCAAGGGCTCGGAATGCTGAAGAAGAACAAGATTTTCTTTATTTTGCCACACACAAAAAATGCCAATTACCACCTATATTATACCACTTTTGCGATTTAGGCAGGCTGGTTTTTTTAGCCTGAGGATTTATGGCTGCATGGGTAGTACTGTCGCCACAACTGTGTAGGTGAGGATTTTATCTTGCCCCCAATCTTCTTTTTTTTTCAAATACATTGATTTCTACAGTTTGTATTTATGATTATATTGTACAGAAACCACATCAAAAATGATGCCATTTGCTGTGTCATCACTGAACACATGTGAACTGTGGACATCTTTTAACTCTTTCAGTGGCAAGATTCCTGTATGGGTTCTGGAGCTCCAGTTTGGAGAACAGAAGCACTACACAGTGCATCTAACAAGTATGTCGCAGGAGGCAACTAATTAAGGGTGTTTCTTCCAAAGTTAGAGTGCATCTACCTGAGATGTGAGAAACTAGCAGTCTGCATAGAAATAAGCCAGATCTGTAAAATGGATCATCATCAATTGCCTTGCCAGCTGGCATAGGTGCTAATGCATCTTCACAGATCTTGGTCTTTGGTGTTTTGGGTCAATTCCACTGATGATATTCCTCCATGTCACTGTCTTAAGCCATCCACCATTGTTTCTCTTGATCTGCCTCTACCTCTATTATCAGTGATCTTTCCAGTCATCAGGATATTTTCCAGTGCTCCTTTTTCATCACATGACCAAAGAACTGTGTTTATCTCTTTCTCGTTGTTATATATAATGTTCTAAATTCATTAGCCATTTCCAGGCAATCATTGTTAGCTTTTCTGGCAGTCCAAGGTATTTACAACATTCTTCTCAATAACCACATCTCAATCACCTCTAAACTCTGTATTACGGATGTGCTTGCAGAACTCAAGTTCTGGATCCAGACACACAAAAAAGGAGTGGATGAGCAATCACAACTTTCTGCCAGAGTTTACAGCCGGTGAACACTAAGAGGAAGAAGAGTACCAAGAATGTTGAATTAAGAATTGGCATCATAGCACTGAGGACACTCCCATAAGCGTTCTGCCCCCATCTTCAGCAGAAAGTGAAGAGTTCCAATTCCAATGGCACCAGTAACTGTCTGATTGTAAATCCGTCTCCTCTTTCCTGTGAGTGTTAAGCATTGGTAACTCCCCGCAGCATCATTCTCCTTAGACCATAATGATCTGTCTGTGCCTCCAAGAAACACATCTTACATTGATCTATATCTAATTCACCTGTCCTGTTACACTGAAAGAATTAACAGGGGTAAAAAGTCATAAAACTCAGTTGTACAGATGTGTTACAAGATCCACCAGCCTTGCCAGAACAATATTACAGATCTCGATAGATTTGAAGAAGAGAAGAGGCAGGTCAAGAAGGAACTAGAAACAGAATTTGTCTGAAAGAACAGGCCCCCAAGCATGCAAATATCAAGCTCATTGCATCTGACCGACAAAGATTTTGGAAACTGATCAGACAATCTTCTTCTTCTTCTTCTTCATCATCTTCTTCTTTTTCTTCGTCATCTTCTTCTTCTTCATCTTCTTCTTTGTCATCTTCTTCTTCTTCTTCTTCTTCTTCTGCTTGACATTCACCAGTTGTAAACTCCAAGAATGTTCTGGTTGTTTCTTCACTCCTAGACTTTGCCTGCACATCTGTTTTACAGATCTGGCTTATTTGTATGCAGACTGTTGGTTCCTTGCCTCTCAGGAAGATGCACTCTGACTTTGAAGGACACACGTCTGATTAGTTGACTTTCAGATCTGTAAAACAGATATGCATGCAAAATTCAAGTTCTGGACAAAACTAAACTTACTGGAATTTACAGTTGTTGAATGCAAAGAAGAAGAAGAAGATAAAGATGAAAATGGGTGTGTTGCAATGAAAAGTACAGATATCCCAACCTAGCTGTAAACTACATACCATATGCCAGCCGCCGATTGAAGGATAAATACAGAAGAAGAAACTGCAGAGGAAAAACTAACAAGATTGGTGACATCTGTCCAATTATTTGATTAGCTTCATGGCATCTGTGCTGTGTTTCTGCTTTCATTCTTTCATTGGATGATATTTAGCTCCCTAGATACTTGGAAATATTGCACAGAACCTGTTCTGCTGTATGGCAGTGAATTTTGGAATGTCAGTTAACAAATTAGGAAGAATTTGGAAGCAACAGAGATGTGGTTTCTGAGACGAATGTTACGAATACCTTGGAGGCCAGAGTAACTAACAACGATTGCTTGAAAGAAGCTAAAGAAAGTAGATCTCTATATACAACAATAAAAAAGAGACAAACACTGTTCTTTGGCCACATAATGAGAAGAGAGACATTGGAGAACATTGTGACAACTGGAAAGATCAGTGGAAAAAGGAGTAGGGGCAGAACAAGAGAGATAATGCTGGATGGGCTGAAATGAAGGCATGGAGGGATATCATCAAGAGAGCTATTCTATGCAACCAGGGATCGTGATCTGTGCAGACGCTTGAGCGCCTGCGCCAGTTGGCAGGGCACATGATGATGATGATGATGAGATACTTGAAGTCTTTTGGTTCTTCAGTTGTTGGTTTAAGCCTATGGTAACACTAGACACTTCAATGGCAGTGTCAGATATGCAACTTTTTATTCCCAACAGGGTCCACTTCTGGAGAAAGCAACATCAAAAGAAAGGGAAGAGGAAAAAAAGGGGACTAAAAAGAAAGTGGAAGTGTCAGAGATGGAGCGGGATGAATACTACATGACAAAGCATTTTTCTACAACAGAGGAATCTCTGGCTCTCTTCGCGAAGGACCCACTGATTGCTAGTCCAGGTAATGTGCTGATGAAGGCTTTTTAGCCACAATGTTCAATTGTCCTTAGTGTTTGTGACACTGTAAAGCAGACTGGTTCTACTTTACGTTTGGTTTGATATCATTTCAAGTCCAGGTAATCAGCTTTTGTTTCTACCTGGCATTTTGATCGGGTCTGTGGTAGCCAAGTGGCCAGGTGCTGCTTGTTGATCTCAAGGTCATGGCTGCAAATCCACATCGAGATGGATTTTTATAATTAATAATTTGAGTAAACAAATATTTGTTTCAAAATCTAACACAATAATTGCATATGTTACGTTAACTCACTCTATTCCTGTCAAAGCTTGGCGGTGTGAAGCATGAAGCATTTGTTTCAAAATGTAACACAATAATTGCCTATGTTACGTTAACTCACTCTGTTCCTACCAAAGCTTGGCAGTGAGAAGCATAAGATGTTTGTTTCAAAATTTAACACAAAAATTGCATATGTTACGTTAACTCACTCTGATCCTACCAATGCTTGACAGTGTTAAGCTTGAAGAGAAAGATCAACTACTAACACTTTTAAACAACAATAGAAAACCTCCTAGCATAATTAAGACAGTATATTGGCTAAAGAAAGCTTAAAATCAGTAATTATTTAGGAGTATAGACAGTATGCTAAGGAGTGTTGTTGTCATATAAATAATTTAGACTATGCCGTTGTATTTTCTTGAATGCAACAAATTGAAAGGAACTTTCCTGTGGGGGTTCCGGGACCCCATGATGGGGAGAACAAGAATACACCCAGTGCCTCCCCAACCAGCATGTTATAAGAGTTGACTAATTGGGGTTTTCCTTTGAAGTCGGAGTGCATCTGCCTGAGAGGCAAGGAACCAACAGTCTGCATACAAATAAGTCAAATTTGTAAAATGAATGTGCATGCATCACTAAGTTTCTGAAACAAGTCTAAGCTCCAGAGGTGGATGAAGAACCAAAACTTTCTGCCGGAGTTTACAGCAGGTGAACACGAAGAAAAAAAGAAAAAAAAATATTTTAATAATTGACCTACAGCAGTCAGATCAACTTAGGCTAAAATGAGTCTCAGGAAATGTTTGAAAAGTAAAGACGACTAATGTTATGTTGACCTCATCACTAATAGGGGGCTAATTGGTTCATAACAGTGTTTGTCCTGCCAGGGATTCTTTTCCCTAGGAAAAAAAAAGGTGTTGGGGCTTACCACAAAGTATCTGAAAAGGTGCCGGTACCAACCACAGAGCCTGTATAAGGTGCCGATACTTACAACAAAATAGAACCACAGTGGTGAAGCGGTTAGATGCTCGCCTGCGGATCCAAGAGTTGTTGATTCAGGTCCTGACAGAGCTGGACTATTTTTCAAAAATAACCCTGGCTCCCAGGTTGACCCAGACTTAAGTGGGTAAAGTCCTCGGAAGTAAAGGTGGCCGGCACGATGTTAACCACATCACCCGCCGAGTGAAAGTTGGTCTATAAAATAGAGGTCTAGCCCTATATGCCCAATATGCTTGAAGGCGTGGAAGATAGTCCTTTACTTTTACTTAACCCACCACAAAGTGTCTAGAAAAAGTGCTCGTACTCACCATAAAGTGTGTAAAAATGCCGTACTCGCCACCAAGTGTCTACAAAAGTGCTGGTACTCACCACAAAGTGTCCAAACAAAGGTGCCGGTGTTCATTACAAAGTGTCTAAAAAGTGCTGGTACTCACCACAAAGTGTCCAAACAAAGGTGCCGGTGTTCATTACAAAGTGTCTAAAAAGTGCTGGTACTCACCACAAAGTGTCCAAACAAAGGTGCCGGTGTTCATTACAAAGTGTCTAAAAAGTGCTGGTACTCACCACAAAGTGTCCAAACAAAGGTGCCGGTGTTCATTACAAAGTGTCTAAAAAGTGCTGGTACTCACCACAAAGTGTCCAAACAAAGGTGCCGGTGTTCATTACAAAGTGTCTAAAAAGTGCTGGTACTCACCACAAAGTGTCCAAACAAAGGTGCCGGTGTTCATTACAAAGTGTCTAAAAAGTGCTGGTACTCACCACAAAGTGTCCAAACAAAGGTGCCGGTGTTCATTACAAAGTGTGTAAAAGTGCCGTACTCACCACAAAGTGTCTACAAAAGTGCTGGTACTCACCACAAAGTGTCCAAACAAAGGTGCCGGTGTTCATTACAAAGTGTGTAAAAGTGCCGTACTCACCACAAAGTTCTACAAAAGTGCTGGTACTCACCACAAAGTTCTACAAAAGTGCTGGTACTCACCACCAAGTTCTACAAAAGTGCTGGTACTCACCACCAAGTTCTACAAAAGTGCTGGTACTCACCACAAAGTGTTCTATTACAGTTGCGTATCCTTTACAGGGCGTTGCAGAACCAACCCCAGCAGCCCCTGGCTGTTGTGTGGTTTTTCTAGACAAATTTACGTCCAGTAGTTTGCCATTGCTTTCTGGACGGTCAGCTTTCTTGATACCACCGTCGAAACCAACGCAAGGCGCATTACCCGCAGCTGGGATCGAACCCAGCATCCCGGCATTATGAAGCGTTCGCATCGACTTAGCCACAGAGCCGATTCTATTACAGTGGCACTGAAAAAAAAAAAAGCATGCCTAATAATTAGCAGACAAACTGATAGATGGCTCTCCTCTCTCCTCTCCATGTTACTGTCGAAACATGAGGCATTCACAAGTTATCTCCCCTGCTGCCGGTCGGCTGCTATTCTGCCAGTGGTATCCCTGCAAGTTTACATTCCTTCATTTCCCTTCTGCTGAATTCACATTGTTTTTTTGTTTTTTTTTCTCATTGACTTGTTTGTGGGTTTTCATCCATTGTAGACCCTTTCAGTAACTTTTTTCCCCCAACTTTTTCTATGCAAATTCTTCTCCTTTGCCTTCACTAGCTGTAGACCCTGGTGAAAAGTTCTGGTTGTTTGTCCACCTCTGGACTTTGGTCTTTTCCCAGATCTTGAGTGGTGTGTGCACATCTGTTTTACAGGTCTGACATTTGTATGCAGATTGTTGGTTCCTTGCCTCTCAAGCAGATGCACTCCGACTTCCAAGGAAGCCCCCATTTAGTCAACTCTTACGACATGCTTTTTGGGAGAAGTGGGTCTATTTTTTTTCTCCATACAATGGGGCCCAGGAACCCACAAGGGGGGCACCTGATATGATGCTGATGCCATCACCCGCCCAGTTTCATTTGGTCTATAAAAATATGAATCTAGTATCATGTACCTAATGCACTAGCATCAAAAGGGTCGTGTACTTTACTGTGAGCATCCATGCATCTCAGCAAGACACCTGATGATGATGATGTTGATGTTGTTAGAGATGATGATTATGATAATGATGATGCTGTTTTTGATGACAATGTTGATGATGATGTTGCTGATGTTGTTGTTGATGATGATGATGCTAATGTTGTTGTTGATGATGATGATTCTGACGTTGATTTTATCATTGTTCTCAGGTACCAAGTATATATACAGCACATTTGCCTACACTCTGCTGGCGGCAGTCGTGGAAGCAGCGCTCAAATCTCCATTCACAAACGTGGTAACAAGGACATTGGGACAGATGGGCCTCAGTGAAACATACCTGGACCTCAACAGACCCATCATATACAATCGAGCACAGTAAGTTTCCATCTAGGTTGCTGCTTGGTTGTCTCACTTATCGTTTGCCTGTCTATTTTATTATTTCTCTGTTACTACGTAGTTTCCTGGACTCACAGGGAGATGCTGTTCAGGATGTGTGGTAGTGTGAAGGAATAAATGAACAGATTTTTTAACTACAAAAGTGATAGTTACGGCAACACTCATATTTAAGATATAATGTTGAATGTTGAATTAAGAATATACATCACAGCCTTCGGGACACTCCCATAAGTGCTCCGTCCCCCATCTTCAGCAGCAAGGGAAGAGTTCCAATTCCGATGGCAACTTGACATATAAGACATTGTCAAGACTACTTTTTAGAAAACATGTTACTGCAGAAATACTAAAAATTGGCATAGGACTTAAGAATGCAATTTCACCTTAATGACAGACTGCAGTTTTAGTGGTGGACTGTTGGTGTTGGCACCCCTTGCAGCTGACTTAAGCATTTAACCCTGACACTCTGGAAAGAACAGAGCTAGTTACTTTTGGTTGTGACACAGCCCCTTGAATACTGATGGAAGATACAGTGTTACATGAAACAACTTGTGTAAGGATGCGTGGATTGGGAATTAGGCGTAAAACTGGTAAGAAAAGATAGGAATTACAAGAGAAGGAGAATGACATGTTAAAAACCATGTGCTACTGGAACAAGAAGTATCTACATCTTAAGCCAGTGATTTCCAAACTGTGCCTTCGGTGCTCCAGGGAGCCGCAACCTCTTTACAGGGGTGCCGCAAAATATTTGAATATATACAATTTTTTTTTTTAATCTCCAACATACGAATAGTCATACTTTTACTTAGGTAAGGGCGCCGTGGAAAATGTTTTATTGAACAAAGGCGCTGCGACTAAGACAAGTTTGGGAAACACCTAACTTAAACCATTTGCTTTGTAGATTTTTTTTAATCATTAATTTTTTTAATGCTTGCTTTTTACTTTACTCTTTTCTCTACTGTTACCAGTGTACTTTATTATTGCTAAGTTATTCTGTATTTTAATTCTTTTTTTTTTTATTTGTAAACTTTGCATACACTTCTTATGTGAACTTAGCTCCCTCTCACCACCCCCACCCTCTTTTTCTCTCTCTCTCTCAAACAAGTGTGCAAGATTTTCCAATCTCTTGCTGTCTCTGGACGGAGGAGAGCCAGTGTATTTCTGGTCACTGCATCTTTGGAGGCCACCATTTCTGAGATCCCCTGCCAGCTTAGTTTTATGCCAATATGACCCAATGTCTGTAGTGCTGAACGGGATGTGTGACAGGAGTCTTACATGAGGATCTGTCAAACCAGCACAAGAACAAGCTAATGTCTGAGGTGAGGTAGAGAGTATCTCCTTATACAAGTCTCATCGGCCTGGACTTTCCCTCATGCTTGTTACTGAAAGTGTTACCCCTCCATATTCGCAATCTTTAGGATTACCATCTCAAACATGAAAAATCAGACAGGTGACAATCTTAGAAACCCTGTTAAACTATAAAGTCATATTAACAACTAATACTGGGGCACTAGCAGAATTCCTAGTTCGCTGCATATCGGGTTGAATGGTACTTGTCTGAAGCAAGTTAAAGAATTTAAATATCTAGGAAGTATATTCTCAGAGGACAGAAGAATAGACCGGGAAATAGAAACAAGATACCAACGAGCCAGTGCACTTAAATACCAACTGACACCGTTATTAAAGACATCCAAACATAAGTATGAGTGTCACAAAACAGATTATAAACAGCATAATCACACCAGCACTGTGCTACCACTGCCAGACTTGGACATTATCAAAGGCTAACCTTCGTAAAATTAACACCTGTGAAATGAGATGAATAAGAAAAGCCATCAACTTAATCACCCAAAGTAAATTTAAAAATGATATTATCAGACAGACTGTAGGAACACCACCATGCAGCAAATTCATTGAGAAATAGAAGATCGAATGGTTTGGTCATTTAGTAAGAATACAGTCAGAACAACAACCAACGCAGGCACTGCACAGGAAAAGATCTGAAGTGAATGCATGAGGCCGTCCTTGGAGAACATGGATTGATGGCATTAAAGAGCTTCTACTTCAACACGGAATGACAGTAGCCATTGCAACCCATCTAGCAGTGTATTGCAAACTGTTCCTCCCCACAACGCTTAATGGTAGAAGTGAAAACTGATGATGATGATCAATGGAGCACCATAAAACAGTTGCAAAGTAACCTGCACTCCAGTGTGGTAGGTTTTGATGAGGATACCTTGTTACATGCCTAAATCCACTCTTATTCTGCAGGTATTATGTGAAAGATGACAGAGGAAAAATAGTGAATGCTCCGTATGTTGATAATTCATACAAGTGGGCTGGAGGTGGGCTGCTGTCGACGTCAGAGGACATGGTCAAGTTTGGGAACATCCTTCTGTATTCTGCGCAGCACAGGGATGAAGGTACTGTACTCTGTAACTTTTTGCCATTGTCTTTCTGATGGTACCGGTCATAATCTGGTTATATGTACGTCTTGCCTTTCCTCTGAGTGTAGTGAGTCGGCCAGACCCTCTGGTTACACCCAGGTGCCTTACTCTCTCCAGACAATAATAATCTTGTTTCTCTACTGATTCCGTTGCTTGTTTCTAAAGGGCCTTGACCACATCTGCCTTATCGTGTATTACCCAGTGGTGCAGATCCAGCTTATATGTCTGCCTGTTTATTACCCAAAACACCGGCCTGGCATGGAGAAAAGATCCAAAGTATGCTCACTACCCGTGACCTTCCCAGCAAAGCTTGCCACTCTGCTCGAAGCATCCCTGTCTTTGTGAAGCTGGAACTGCGATTAACAACTAATAGCAATAAGGGAAGACCAAAAAAAAACGAAAAACCAGCACAGAACTGGTGCATCCATTACACTGTGATATACGGAGGATAGGATCTGAGGTAAGGTTGAACAGTCTGCTGGTTTTGAAAATAAAAAAAATAGAGAAAGAAAAATGTGTTATTTTGTAGCCTGTGAGAAATTTTTTGTGAATGCAGATTTTGTTAACAGATGCTGGACCTCCTGGTTTCCTGAAGTCATCAACCATGTGGAAGTTCTGGAGCTCACCAAACAAAGAAGGAGCTAAAAGCACGTACGGACTAGGATTTGAAATCAGGCCAGCCAATGAAGTCTTTGGCATGTGTGATCACAAAGGTTTCGGGGCAGGACACACAGGTAGGTAGCTTCAGATGAGACTAAAGGGGTTTGGTTGGAAAACTGATCTCTAGCTGTTAAGTTCAGGTCATCTAAGCTGTGAAAAAGGCATGCCCATTTGTTATGGTGAATGATAGTTTTTTAGTTTAGTTTAGTTTATACAATGGATCAACATCGTGGCACAAGGGTAGCAACCCATAAGTGCTCCGTTCTACTTCTAACTCAAGTCTAAGTCTTCTTCTTCTTCTTCTTGCGTTGTGTCTGTTTACAGCATGGTTGCGATATTTGCACCTTTCGGCCAGCACATCCGACTTCTGCAGGCATTTTTTGACCGGGTTAGCCTTCCAGGTAAGCCTAAGTCTAAAGAATCTCAACGCATTGCACGAACTCCTTAGCACAGGTTAGGATCCTGAAATACTTTGGGTAGATTTTTAACTCTAAATCTTGCCCGGGGAGTGCTGTTAGGCAACTGTTTTTAATTTCTAACTGCCAAGTGCCACATGTATCATAAAATTACTTTTGATGACACAGTATACCATTTTCAGACCCCCTGATACAGTCTCAGTTGCTACTGTTTCTGCAGAATAGAAAATTAAAAAACTGGCAGCCAAACTTGGGTGAGACTAGAAGCTACAAAGTCCAAGAGTGCCCTAGAATGACAACACGAAGTTAGTGAAGCAGCAAAGACCAGACAGAAAACAAGCTGTGAAGAAGTTAGTGGGAAGGACTTCAGACTAGATATAAAACCAAACAAAAAGTTAAACCAGCTAGCTTCACAGTATAACAAACACAAACAAGTTAATGTTGCTGCTAGACAACCTTCATCAGCACATTACAAAAAATAAACTAAATCACTCAACTGACATATCTCCGATAGAAATCACACTTCTGTCTTGCCAGTAAAAAAACTGACATGTTTGTGGCTACGGGAAATAAATACTGGCCACTTCTGCATTCACCATTAAAAAGGTGGTTGGCATGTTGTGTTGTAGTTTGCAGCAAAGCTGTGATATCTGTGCCTTTCAGTCTGACATACCCACTTTAAGAAAACCCTTAAATAATCACCCTTTACAACATGCTGTTAAGAGGCAGGGGTCTATTTTTTTTGGCCTCCTAAATTGGGCTCCCAGAACCAACATGGGCCCCCCGGAACCAACATGGGGCTCCCCAAAAACCCACATGGTGAGAAAAGGAAATAAATAGCAAATTTGTAAACTAGTTACAGACAATTTTTGGTACTTGTTTCAGGTGCAGCAGTCGGAGCGAGCAGTGCTTTGTTTATTTTACCAAGACAGTCGTCACCAGGAAATCATTACAAAATCAAGAACAGTAACTCTCAGGGAAATGTCAGCAAGGATTCCGGAGATAAGAGTGCTCTCCTTGCAGACACAAATGCATCAGATTCTGTCAAGTCCGCACGTGAGCCAGACTCATCAGGTACTAAGATTGTTGGAGACACATCCCTTGTGCTTGAAAAGCAAACAAACGAGTCGGTTGTCGGCCAGCTGCCGCAAGGTGTGGTGGTGTGCATTGTACTGAACATGATCTCCGTCTCAGCACAAGATATAGCTGAAGACATTGCCAAGACTTTTGAGAAAGTTGATTTTACATTATAGATTTAACTTGTAAACAACACAGAATGGGTCAAATAAATTCCTGAAAATTGCAAGTGGTGAGAGTCATATGAATATTTTTCATGGGTTATGCGTGCACATTCAATTTACAGATCTGACTTATTTGTATACAGATTTTTGGTTCATTGCCTCTCAGGCAGTCTGACTTCAGAGGAATCCTCCAGTTAGCCAACTCTTATGACATGCTTATTAGGGGGAGGCAATGAGTTTATTCTTGTCTTCCTCACAATGAGGCCCCAGAACCCACAAGGTGAATTGGGGAGACTAACAGCACTGGGGGAGGGGGAGGCAGAGGGTATCTCCCGCCTTTGGGATGAAGTAACCAGTCAAATGGAACATACTGGAAACCTACATCTGAAAAGAATGATGCAGCGTGGGGAGTGTCTGTGGGATCTGGAGGCCCCTCAAGACCCAGGGAAGAGGCAAGACGAGTAGTTAACCAGAAGACAGTGGGCACCATCAGTACGGAGGCTCTTCGCTGGCTGTTGAGCAGGGGGACGGAGCTGACATGGGCTTTGCCCTAAAAGCTGTGATCTTGAATCTTTATCCAAATGACCCAGATTCGATACATTTAAACTTTTTTTTTATTAATAACAGGAACATTCCAAGGATGAAACGTAAGTAAAGTAAAGTGAAGGACCCCTTTCCACACCTTCCAGAAATATTGGACATATAGGGCTAGACCTATATTTTATAGACCAAAAGGCACTTGGTGGGTGATATGGTCAGCATCATGCCCACCGCCTTTACTTCCCAGGACTGTACCTGCTACCCACTCAAGACTGGTTCGACCAGGGAGCCAAGGTTGTTATTGAACAAATCTGGTCCCCATCAGGAACCAAACCCATGACCTTTCGATAGCGTCTAGTCGCTAGATCACGGCGGCTTCCTGAACAAATAAGGGTATACATAATCTAAGGGCAAGGAAACTGAAGATCCTACGTGTTTGTTTAAAATCATCTAGCAGTTAAAAATCTTAAGAAGTAGGCTTAAAGACCCGTGCCCTGTCAAAATTGTTAATGGGAGAGGAAACAAATTATCTGATGTATAGATAGAGATTTACACTACATGAGCGCCCATCATCCAATAATGCACAGCATTAGGAATTGAGATGATTTCTCCTGGCACTCAGACTAGAAATGTGCATAGTACTTGCCTGTGGCCACCAAAAATAAAGTTATTTGAACTGAGCAGTATCAGCTGATGGCTTAAAGTTCACACAGATCAAAGACTGAGAGATCATTTTTCTCCCTAGAACTTTATTTACTTTGGTGCTCCATTGTATTTTAATCAGAGTATCAGTATATGGAATGTGTATTTTTGTGATTATTATTGTCATTACTGCTATTGTTTTTATATTGTGTTATTTTGTATTTTACTACAGAATTTTATTTTTGCTATCAACATTCAGCATTTCTTGAATCAACTGAAATATTTTTGTTATGATTGTATGGTTTTTGAAAAGAATGCATGGATATCATAGAATGAAAGAAGAACATGCAATAGCCATGTAATAACAATATATGCAAAGTATTTTCAACCAATTCATGAAATAATAAATTTCATTATGTTTTTTATGTCAGCATAAATGATTATGTTTATACTGTCGACACATTTTTTGGCCTGGAGAAACAACAGTTTATATTAAACTTTATGGACCATCTATTGAACTAACAAAGACAATAAATTCATGCAAAAACAACACTTGCATATAATTATTTCATCATAAATTCTCACTTTTTTATTTGTTCTACCAAGCACAACCTGTTTTGTTGGAGCTGAGATATTATTTTGTGTTGCAAAATGGTAAGATTTAGGAAAATATCAGAATTATCAGACAGTAATTTAATCATCATCATCATCATCATGTACCCTGCCAACTGGCATAGGCACTCATGCATCTCCACAGATCACGATCACTGGTTGACTGGAACAGCTCTCTTGATGATATCCTTCCTTACCATCGTTTTAGCCCATCCAGCATTATCTACTTTCATTAGCTTCTTTCAAGCAATCGTTGTTAGTTACCCCGGCTGTCCGAGGTATTTGTAACATTCGTCTCAAAAACCACATCTCTGATGTTTCCAAATTCTTCTTAATTTGTTCAGTGACATTCCAAGATTGGCTGCCATACAGCAGAACAAGTTCTATGTAACATTTTAGCACCCTCTTTGTTATTTAAGCAGCGAAAATTATTCAGATTTTAACTTTGCCAGTGATTTGATTTGATTGATTTCATTTGATTCAAGAACCGACATCACAGCACCCGGGGCATTCCCATAAGCGCTCCGCCTCCATCTTCAGCAGCCAGCGAAGAGTTCCGATACTAATGGTGCCAGTAGCTTTCTGATTTAATGTCCGTCTTGCCTTTCCTCTGCCTTGAGCTTCTGCCAGAACCTCTCGTAACCCCCAACTGCATTAATCTCACCAAACTGTGGTGATCCATCTGCTCCTCCAAATTGTACACGCTCTCTCACAAGGCACTAACCATGTCTGCCCTATCATGTATCAGTATTCCACCAAGTTGTGCAAAGCCAGCCAGTCTGTCCGCCTGTTCATTTCCCAACACACCGTTAGCAATATCTTCAAATTTTTTTTGGGTGAAAATACCCTGAAAGAACGAAAAATTCATGATCTCTCTCTCTCTCTCTTTCACACGCACACTCTCTCTCTCTCTCTCACACACGGACACACACTCACATACACATATACAAACAAACAACAACAACAAAAAGAATGCAATGCCTTTAAATATAAGTGCTTGCGAAACGGGTGTAAGGTAACCACTATTCGTATTCGGCCCGATCGCAAGAATTCTGCCAAATACCGAATAGTTATTAGGTCCACTATTCGGCCCCGAAGCGAATATTCGGTGCAGCTCTAATAGAAATAGCACAAAAGGACTGTGCTGATAAAAAGCAATCAAGTATATTTTGTATAACCTCGGGAGAAACATCAATCTTTGATTTTTATGGTGTTTTTTTTTTATGAACTTTTCTTGTACTATCCAATCTGAAGTATTTTATTTATTTTGAAAAAATGATTGCAGAACTTTATTGTCATTGAATTAACAGGAGATAAATCAAATCCACCGTCATTTGTGTTGTACCTTAAAAATACTAGACCAGGTATAAAGTTATGTTATAATGTTTCTGTTATTTGAGCAATGCTTCTTCATCTGTATTTGCTCCTTAAAATGACAGGTGGGACATTGTATTGTGGCTTACAGCTAGGCTGCGACTTTCGCAACGCCTAAGCCACAGATGCCCACGTTTGGGGCGGTAGATCTGTTGTTTTTTCCTCCCAAAACCTACATGGGGAAAAACTGCTTCACTTAAAAGAAATTTGAGAAGCTTGTAGTGTGCAATACCACTGCAGGTAAAGATTCATAATTCTATTTACATTGTACAATACACATACAATATAAACGCCAGACACTGCACACACATACAATATAAACACCAGACACTGCACACACATACAATATAAACACCAGACACTGCACACACATGCAACATAAACACCAAACACTGCATACACATGCAACATAAACACCAGACACTGCATACACATACAATATAAAGACCAGACACTGCATACACATACAATATAAACACCAGACACTGCATACACATACAATACACACACCAGACATTGCACACGCAACATAAACGCCAGACACTGCATACACATACAATATAAACGCCAGACACTGCATACACATACAATATAAACACCAGACACTGCATACACATACAATACACACACCAGACATTACACATGCAACATAAATACCAGACACTGCATACACATACAATATAAACACCAGACACTGCATACACATACAATACACACACCAGACATTGCACACGCAACATAAACGCCAGACACTGCATACAAATACAATATAAACACCAGACACTGCACACACATACAATATAAACACCAGACACTGCACTGATAACTTCAGACTTTCTTTACTCATTATTTGAACATATTCAGCAGTATGAAAACATTATTGGCACTTTTTGTGTTATTCAACAACAAGATATCAGATTTCTTCTCAAACAAACATTGACATTTATTGTTTCTCAGTCCCTGGTTACTCAGCATAAGTTCATTGGCTATTCTACATGTGGTTTACATTTCTCAACTTCTCCTGTCCTTCCTTTATGGTAATCTTCTTCTTCGTGTTTATCGGCTGTAAACATTAGCGGAAAGTTCTGGTTGTTCCTCCACTTCTGGACTTTAGACTTGTTCCAGAACCTGAGTGTTGCGTGTACATCCATTTAACAAATCTGCTTAATTTGTATGCACTCTCAAGCAGATGCACTCCGACTTTGAAGGAAATCCCTGATTAGTCGACTCTTACGACATGCTTGTTGGGGAGGCAGTGGGTCTATCCTTGTTTTCCCCTCAATGGGACCCCAGAACCCACACGAGGACATTATGGTTATGTATTCTTTCTCAAACTGTAACCATCTCTCATTCCATTATTTACCCTGTTCAAGGGCTATTCAACTGATTACTCGGGGGCTAAAATGTCTTAAATGGAGGTCGTCACAGATTAGAGGCCTGGGCTCCACCACAGAAAGATGATTAATACAGTTCGTTTTTAGTTAATTTACTGGACGGATCAACATCATAGCACATGGGTGTAAACCCATAAGTGCTCCGTTCTACTTCTAACTCAAGCCTGTCTTAAGAATCTCAGCGCAGTGCATGAACTCTGTAGCACCGGCGTGGATCCTGACATACTTCTGGGTAGATTTCAAACTATAAATTTTGCCCGGGCAGCGCTGTTAGGCTACTCTTTTCTATATCCAGCTGCCAAGGTATTTTTTGTGTACATGCGCGACAATACACACGGGCATCCGGTCTTACTACCCAGAGACCAGGGAAAATTACTAGAAGTCCACAGGAAAAAAATCCCAGCTTTCACCGGGGTTTGAATCCAGGACCTCCAGCACTCGAGACAGATA